TGCTGCTGCTGCTGCTGTTGCTGCTGATGCTGCTGCTGCTTGTGCTGATGTGTTGCAGCATGATATTGCTGCTGAAGCTGCTGCTGCAGCTGCTGCTGCAGCTGCTGTTGCAAATGCTGCTGCAGCTGTTGCTGCAGTTGCTGCTGCAGTTGCTGCTGCAGTTGCTGCTGCAGCTGCTGCTGCACCTGCTGCGGCAGCTGCAGCTCTACAGCTGTGTCTTGCTGCAGCTGCTGCCAGAAGGGAGTTTCTGGTGTGTGTGTGCTGCATGCATCTGCTGCAGTTTGCTGCGCAGCAGCAGGAGCAGCAACAGGAGCAGCAGCTGCTGCTGCAGCAGCAGTCAAGCTAGGCAGCAGCAGCAAGGAAGACACCGCTGGGGTGTGCCTGTATACATCTTCTGCTGCAGCTGCTGCTTGCTGCTGATTGTGTTGCTGCGCATTGTTGCAAGTTAGAGGTGCAGCAGATGGTGCTGCTGTTTCTGCTGCTGCATCTGGTGCTGCTGCTTCTGCTGCTGCTGATGGTCCTGCTGCTTCTGCTGCTGCTGCTGCTGCTGCTGCTNCTGCTGCTGCTGCTGCTGCTGCTGCTTCTGGCCGAGGATCTGCAAGAATGCTGCTGCTGCTGCCCCCTGCTGCTGCTGCGCTCTTCATTTTGATTTATACGCTGTAGGGTCCTGTGGGTTGAGAGGTGCAGCTGTGCGTGCTGCTGCAGCAGCAAGCAGCAGCAGGCCTCCTGCGAAGCGATAGCAGCAGCAGCAGGGGCGCTTCTGCAGCAGCAGCAGCAGCAATGTTTGTTTAATGAAGAAGGAGCAGCAACTAATATTAGATGCAACTGAAACAAGAAGAAGAAAAACAAATCACAGCGTCAACTGCCTGCGGGGTCACTCGGCAGAGGGGCAGAAGAGCAGCACCCCGAAGCACTGCTGCTGCTGTTGCTGCTGTTGCTGCTGCTGTTGCTGCAACAGCAACGACGATAAAAGAAAAAGACAAAAAAACAGAGAAAAACAATAATACAATGTAGCAGAACAAAACGCAGCTACGGGAAGCAGCCGGCTGCCACAACAAATCCCGAAGAGGGTGCTGCTGCTGCTGCTGCTGCTGCTGCTGCTGCTGCTGCTGCT